AGAGAAATTAGGAAAGTCAGATTTACCTTTACGCATTTAGAGACAGTTGAATGAGTACCTCTAGTCTGATTTGAAATGCACTTGTGGTAATAAAACATATCTGCTTCCTGCTGATGAAATTATTCTATAAAGAAGCCTCTGTTTCACATTTATACACACATAAATTAAATAAAAATGAAAATGTTTTAATTTGTTTACTTTTACTACAATATCCTCATCCACTGGGAACTTCCATCACCTGTCATTTTTACCTCAACACCTGTCATCATCGGTGACTTCAGTGTTCACCTAATCTGCATTTCTTAACTGCGTTAAGAGTCACCTGAAGAACTTTTACACAACATTGATGTTCATATCTTACCTGCAAAGCTTAGGCCTTAACTATCTGGGTGGGGCCCAGACATTGGTATTTATGTCACCCAGCTCTTTGGGTGACTTTAATGTATGGCAACGACTGAGAGCCTCTTATTTAAATCACTGATCTAAAATCTAGCCTCCAAGTTTTTCTGATCTCCACTCCAGTAACCTTCACTCACCCTCTATTCCGACCACCATCCACTGAACTTTAATTATCCAGAACTGTCCTCTCTCGGAAACTCCACACTCTAAAATACCAGTTGCCTATATTTCTGTCATTCCCCGGTATTCAACCTCACTGAGATTTTCCTGTCCTTCAACCCCTCACTTCTTTTAACCCACTGTCCCTCTTATAGTCTTAGCTCCTTTATGAATCAGCCCATAACACATCATGTATTACCTCAATAATTCTGAGTCAGAACTTTCAATATTCTTATCTTTCTGAGTCTATCACTCATTGTGCAATCTGAAATCAATACAACTTGCTTTCTCCACTCCTAAACTGGGCTACTTAGGTAATAAAGTGCACATTCCTGCAGACTGGCGCCCCTATAATTTACAGTGCATAAACTCACTACTCTCTCATCAACAGTCTTTTTAAACATCTCTGGTGAAGAGACACCAACAATGGCTGTTCCAAATTCAATGCTGGCCTCATCTCTACTTTATCCTAGGAGAAAACAAAGGCTATTAGGTATGAATTTTCTCAAACCCATTCTCACACAATGACCTAACTAGAGATCCAAAGGGCCCTTCTTATTTGTCGTAAGACACTAATAACAGATTATTCCCATCTTTAAACTCACTCCTCTCCAGCTCGGTTTGAACAATGACTGGTTTAAAGGAATCCCCCTACCTAGCAATAGTCTACAGCCTCCTGGCAGGTCCCTCTGCCTCGTCTTTAGGCCAACTTCCCCTGCAATGTTTTCTATGATATAACACAGCATTCATATATAATGCAGAATGGTGTAATACAGGGTTTATATCACAACTTCTTCCATGATTTGATCACGAATATTTCCCACTATTGTCTGAAATTACATTTTTTTGGTCTCAAGTTAGTTAACATACAGTGTAGTCTTGACTTCAGGCGTAGAACCCAGTGATTCATCATTTACATATAACACCCAATGCTAATCCCAACAAGTGCCCTCTCCTTAATGCCCATCATGCATTTTCCCCATCCTCATCAACTCTCAGTTTGTTCTCTGTATTTAAGAGTCTCTTACGGTTTGTCTCCCTTTCTGTTTTTATCTTATATTTCCTTCCATTCCCTTATGATCTGTTAATTTTCTCAAATTCCACATATGAGTGAAATCATGTGATAGATCTTTCTCTGACTTCTTTTGCTTAGCATAATAGCCTCCAGTTCCATCCACATTGTGAGAAATGGGAAGATTTCATTCTTTTTCATCACCAGAGTAATATTTCATTGTGTATATATATACCACATCTTCTTTATCCATTCATCAGTGATGGACATTTGTGCTCCTTCCATAATTTTATTATTGTTGATAGCACTGCTATAAACATTGGGGTGCATGCAACCCTTTGAAACAGCACTCCTCTTTCCTTTGAATAAATTCCTAGTAGTGCAGTTGCTGGGTTATGAGGGTAATTCTAATTTTTTGAGGAACCTCTACACTGTTTTCCAGAGCAGCTGCACCAGTTTGCATTCCCACCAACAGTGCAAGAAGGTTCCCATTTCTCCACATCCTTATCAATATCCACTGTTGCCTGAATTGTTAATTTTAGCCACTCTGACTGGTGTGAGGTGGTATCTCGTTGTGATTTTGACTTGTATCTCCCTGATGATGAGTGATGTTGAGCATCTTTTCATGTATTTGTTTCCCACGTCTGGATGTCTTCTTTGGAAAAGTGTCTATTCATGTCTTCTGCTCATTTCTTCACTGGATTATCTGTTTTTCAAGTGTTGGGTTTGGGAAGTTCTTTACAGATTTTTGATACTAACCCTTTATCTAATGTCATTTGCAAATATCTTCTCCCATTCCATCAGTTGCCTTTTACTCTTATTGTTTCCTTTGCTGTGCAGAACTTTTTATCTTGATGAGGTCTCAATAGTTCATTTTTGCTTTTCTTTCCCTTGCCTTTGGAGAGTCTGTATATAAACCCCTACCTACATTTTGCGTCTTCTAAAACATTCTGCTGAGTAGTATAAATGTTGTACCATTCAACACTTCAGCACTGTTTTGAAGATTAAGACGTTTACATATGGAACTAGCAGGAACTAGTTAAATGACATTATAGTAAGCTACCATTTAAAAGTCATCCCTTCTCTAGTAGCTCCTGAGTGGCTCAGGTGGTTAAGCATCCGATTCTCAATTTCAGCTCAGGTCATGATCTCACAGTTTTGAGTTCAAGCCCCTCACTGTCAGTGCAGAGCCTGCTTGGGATTCTCTCTCCCCCTCTCTCCCTCTGCCCCTCCTCCATTCGTGCATATGCTCTCTCTCTCTCAAAATAAACTTAAAAAAAAAAAAAAAAGTCATCCCCTCTCTAAATGTACCTGATTTTATTATTTGGAGTCCTGTGTTACATTAAGGGGGGGAAAAAAAAAGCAATTACCCAAAATTGAAAACTAAAACAAACCCATCCATATATCCAGTTGGTGGCATAATTGCACAGAAAATTATTTTAAGTATCCTTGAAATATAAATTCCTAATGGGATATATCCTTGGGAAGGTAGGGGTCCTAATTTTTTTTTTCTAAAGTCATCCCTTTTCCCATCTGTTTCCCATCCATGCATTGGTCCCACATTACGTTTATATCTTATCACTTGTTTGTTTTTTTTCCAGGTAAATGATAAAGTAATTTTATCAAGTTGAAAAGAATTTAATTGAAATTTTAATTATAAATAAATCTGGAGGGGCACCAGCTGGCTCAATCAGTTGAGTGTCCAACTTCAGCTTAGGTCATGATCTCACAGTTTGAGTTCGAGCCTTGCACTAGCCTCAACACAGAGCCTGTTTCGGATCCTCTGTCCTCCTCTCTGTCCCTCCCTGACTCACATTCAAGCGCTCTCTTTCTCAAAAATAAAGAAACATAAAAAAAATAAAAACCTGGAAAGAATGACATATAGTAATAATTAAGTCAACCCACTCTGAAATATGGCAGGCCTCTTCATTTTGTCAATCTTTTGTCTTTTCTTTCCTTTTTTTGGTTCTTAAGTGATCCTTTCGTATAATATTTTTCTTTGTAGTTCTTAACTAGCTGGCATTCTACTGCACCACTATTGATATCATCTATGGTGTCATGAGTATGCCAGCCATCAGCATCGCAGCCCAGAGACTGGGCAGTTCCCAGGATCTCTTTAATGGTCCCAGAGAGTTCTCTGGCTAAAGATGGGTGCTGCATCTGTCGGGCAAAGTCGACAATCTCACCAAAAGTAGTATTTTCACTGTGCTTAATGTTTTTCTGGTTCTTTTGGTCTCTTGGTGGTTCCTTGACAGCTTTGAGGGCAGAAGCAGAAGATACCAATTCAATTTGGGCCTTTCTGTTCTGAAAGGTCAGTTTCACTGTAATCCTCAGTTACAGTTACCTTGTTAATGTCATCAACAACCTTTACTGGAGACAGACCCAGGGGGCTGATCTTGGGGACTAGGGCAGACATAGCAGCAACTTCCCCACTGGTGCACCTCAGGTATACACTTTGATCACTTTGGGGCTGGGATCTCAAACTTTGCCGGCATGGAGGAAGCAGCTGGTGTTCGTATGAACCCAGATTCAGGACGACAGAGGACAGCTGTACCTTCGCCTCCTCCGAGGCAAAAGCCAAAAAGCCCATCATTCATCATTTTAGATCAACCCCACCTAAGCTATAATTGAGGCCAAATGACAATGCTGAATGTGACTTTACAAATCTAAATGGGTTGTAGGACTAAGGATATAGAAGTGAAAAAATAACATATAAACAAATATTTGTGCCCTCTGAAGATGTATAATGAATCCATAATATATTTACATATCATCACCACAATCCAAATCCCTTGGTGCTAAGAATGGGCCTGTGCAAAAGTTTAAGACTTACAGCTTCTTGACCTTCTCCAAACCCTTCCTTGGGTCTCTGCACAGAATTTTGGAGAAAAAGTACATAGATTCATTCAATAAACACTGAGCTCCTACTATGTGCCAGGTACTAGATGGTGCTGGGAATACAATAATAAGCAAAAGGCCTCATTAAAAATCCCCAAAGCAACAAAGAGACAAGCAACAGGACAGTACACCAGAAGCTGCCTGCCTGCCCAAGCTGCTCTTAAGTTTTAATTTCACATATCCAATTTGCAAACATTTTTAGGAATAGAGAAAAATAGGTGACAGCCAATAGTAGGAGCAGGTGCTCAAATACTCCTTCATTAACTGATGGTCTACCTTTATAAAACCTCAATTTTCTTCACAAATTCAATATAAAAACTTCCCGTTTTAGAAATTTAGCCAATATAAAATATAGATTATCTACATGAATAAAATATTGCCTTTTATTTTAAATGATAAACTTAATCTGTCTATATTTCCATCTAAAACGGTAAATTATGGCATTTAAAGATTTTGTTAGGGGGCTAGCTTTGGTGTACCAAAGTCACTTGGATACGAGGTTGTGAATTATTCTGCATTAGTAGCAACTTACACTGGGGTGACTTCGAGGAGGTACCCGTTCTCTTGGAAGCCTTTCATAGTCATATCGTCCCTCGGACCACATTTCATCTTTTCTGTAAGCCACTAAACAAAAAGAAACCAGAGAATTACGTTTTTTATATTTTCAGTAAGTAGTAGAGAAGATTAAAAAAACAAGTACTTTCTAACACAAATATTTTCTAGAAGTATTTAATGAAAACAATGTAAGTGACCAAAAGGAAAAAAGAATGATTAAGGCAATTTTTCCTCCAAATAATTTTGAAATGTTCTTTTTAAAAAAATATAATAGAAAGCTCCACCTTGCATTTTAAAGGCTATTTAAAGCTTCAAAGAGCTTGTTCCCATCAACTGTAGTAAAAAATCTCTAATATTTCTTCATTCCCATACCAAAATAGAAAAGATTCATTTTCATGAATAATTTCAAATGCTGATCAGCAAGCAGTCTACCATTTCTTGATGGATGTTTTCTGTAAGACTAAGTTTTTTGTTTTTCTACATTCTTGGAGCTTCTCTCTTTTCTCTATATGTTCAATGAAATGTTTTTTTTTCCCTCAATGAAATGGTTTTAACCAAGAAAAGTACTAAACACTTTAAGTGTTTAATCCTATAAAAACATACTCAATAAACCACAAAATAGAGCACTCTCAATTTTGCTTTTACTGCTACAGATTTATTTTAATGCAAAGGCACTATCATACGATTTGAAATTAAAAGTTCTGTCAACATTTTTCACATCTGGGATGCAGAGAGAGGCTTCCTACTTTGACTGAGAGCTGATATGTTCTGGGTGAAGGGCTAATACATAGAGAAGATGAGAAAAGGGTGCAGGAAATAGCCTGAAGGTCATTTCTATGAAATAGGAATACAATAGATAAGTGGTTGGCAAACATTTTTGTAAAGGACCAGTAAAAGACTAAGATTTTCAGCCTTGCAGGTCACAGGTCTCTGTCATAACTACTCAATTCTACTGTTATAATATGAAAGCAACCATAGGTAATACATATCAATGCAGCAGTGTGGTCATGTTCCAAAAAAAAATTTATTTACAAAAACAGACAGACAGCCCACAGGCAGCAGGTCAATAACCACCAGAGTAGATGAGAAATAGTTAACAAGGCAGAACCAGGAGAAAATGAAGCAGGATCCGACCTAAGAACTATGAATCATCTGATATGTAGAAGGATGATCATGAGCAAGAAGTGAAAATGGAACAGGTACTAACTCAGGGCCTTTTAGTACATAGAAAATAGAGTAACAAATCCAGACTCTAGTCCACAGATTTGTAAAGAAGGAAAATTCCTCAGAGAAAACACAGGTCAAAAGACTTTTGGTGGCTCCTTAGGAGGTAGTAACACGAAAGGGGGAAAAAAGAGGACATCTCCCATCTTGGCAGTATGTAATTCTAATGGTTTAGGCTAAGAAAAAAACAAAGTCTAGAAGATTAGGGCAGTATTTTTTGACACTAACCATAGTACAGACAATCTTAATGTTCTCTTTAAAAACAAACCTATGATATCTTCTAATACAAATAGACCTAAAAAATGAACTAATGCCAAGATGCCTAGAAAAATCTTAGTTCCAAGTTAGCTCTTAACATTGGTCAACCTGAATTCCATGTCCATAAAGACATGATTAAGAATCGGGCTCTGTGCTGACTGCCAGCTCAGAGCCTGGAGCCTGTTTCAGTCTGTGACTCCCTCTCTCTCTGACCCTCCCCTGCTCACGGTGTCTCTCTCTCTCTCTCTCCTAGAAATAAAAAATAAAAAATAAAAAAAAAACTTATTTCAAAGTAACCAATCTTTTAGGTACAAGACTTGACAGAAGCTTGAAAGTTGAAACAAAAAGAAAAGAAAGTGTCAAAATTACTCTGCCTATCCCACTTTTATTGAATCCATCAGTTTATCCTACTTGACAGGACAGAGAAATAACAGCAACCAATTGAAACCAAATAACAGAAAAAAATGAACACAAATGAAAAATGGACAAATGATATGAAGTCAGTTCACAAAAGAATAGGGGCTCCTGGGTGGCTCAGTGGGTTAAGAGTCCAACTTCGGCTCAGGTCATGATCACACAAGTTCATGGGTTCAAGCCCCACGTCGGGCTCTGTGTTGATGGCTAGCTCAGAGCCTGGAGCCTGTTTCAGATTCTGTATCTCCTTTTCTCTCTGACCCTACCCTGCACACGCTGTTTCTCTTTCTCAGAAATAAACAAAACATTAAAAAAATTTTAAAAAAAAAGAATACCATGACTCAATCTTTTGAAATGATGCTCAACTTTATTCAAAATAAGAAAAATGAAAACTAAAACTATAATGGAATACTAATTTTTACCCAAACCTCTGCAAAAATCAAACTCCTTTCACTGGAGTATAGAAAGCAACACTCTTATAGAGTAATGAAACAAGTATAACTTGGTGCAGACAAGGAAAAAATTGGTAATATATATTAAATATTAAATGCACATATGCTTGACCTGGCAATTCGACTTCTATGTATGCTTGCACAGGTGCACAGCAAAGATTGAAAGCAATGTAAAATGTTGGTCAGGAAGGCATAGATTAAATAAAATGTTGTACGTCCAATATAAAGTACCATTATGCAAGCCATTTCAAAGAAAAGTCACTCGATATATAACATAGAAAGATTGCCAAGATATACTGGTAAGTAAGAAAGAACAAAGAGTAGATTAATATGTTGAATATGCTGCCACTCTGGGAAAATAAAAAGAAAGGGTATGAATACATATGCACATGCACAGATACTTCTGAAAGTATAAGCAAGAGAAGGAATAGTACCTGCCACTGGGGAGACTGCGTGGCTAAGTATAGGAAGATGAATATTTTCAAGGCATATTTTATACATCCTATGATCCATAACAAAAATAAGTATATTTAAAGGTCTTGGGAATCATTCAATAAGCATCCCTGTCAGAGACACAGGAGTCTAGATCTCAGGATTTTGAGTTCAAGCCCCACATCGGGTATACAGATTAAAGAAATAAAACTTTAAAAAATTTTCTTATTAAAAAAATAAGCATAATGTGTAAAGTGATGGCAAAAACTATGAATATAAATTAATAAACTTAAGGAAAACTAGTAAAAGTAAAATTTTATAATTAATGAAACAAAAACTACAAGAGTTCTAAGGAAATACTATATAGATTCTTAACTAGATATAACACTACAATATTAAAATTACTGGCTTCCCACCAAAAAATGTAAGAATAACTACTATACTACTTACTTGAGTCCTTTCAGGAATCAAATATAAAGTTTTCAACAATCTCCTGTAGGAGGGGGGAAAAATACAGACATAAGGATTTGTGTCTGTATAAATCAACCAATGGAGAAAAATAACCCTAAAATAAGAAACTATGACCATTAGTAAGCCAAACTCCCTTCAAACACATCTTTAAAAATAGAAGAGATTATTTTGACCACCAGAGGCCACCCAAGTTTCATAAGAACAACCAAATTATATTAAAAGAATTCTCCTCCTAATTTTGCTAGTTGAGAGCTGGGCAGGACATCTCTCTTATCCTTATCTCTGAAAGAACTATATGAAATGTTTATGGTAATTTTTATCTAGAATATTAAGAATGCTGGCTTTAAAATATATCACATATTTTTTTAAAAAAATCTGGCATCCTTAGTCTGGAAATCCCTACAGTGTTATTTTGGCAATAAATAGACCCATGTTCAAAAGTCATCCGAAAATCAAGGCAAGAATCATCAACTCATCAAAAACTACTAAATCTACTAAATAAAAATTTGATGAAGAACTTTTTTTCAGATCTTTTTGAGGACAGTTGACACCCAACATCACATTAGTTACAGGGGTACAACATGGTAGTTATATGTTATCCTATGCTCACAAATGTAGCCACCTTCTGTCACTATACATCACTATTATGGTAATATCATTGACTATATTCTCTATGCTGTGCTTTTTTACTCCTGGGACTTCATTCCAGAACTTGAAGCCTGTATCTCCCATGATGGAGAACTTTTTAAGACTTTCCCCCAAAAGAAATAAAGTGTACTGAGCAAGCTTAGGTAAAAGAAGACAGTAACAATAGAAGCAATGTGCAAATCGTGATGAAATTTGCAAATCTATGAACTAGTCTTATCTTAAAACAAGAAAAAAAGAAAAAGCAGGGAATCTAAATCTACTCAAGCCTATAGTTCTATCTACCACTTTACAAGAAACTCAAAGGATGGAAGTGGCTCTACTAGAAAGATTAGGCCCACTTAATTGCTACACAGAAATTCTGTGCTTACTAGCCAAGTACAAAAATAAAGTTGTGCCTATAGTCTTAAGTTTATAGGTCACTCCTGATCTAGTTGGTTTTTTCTGCCTGGCAGTCTGCAAGGCAAATAACAGAATTTTATTGTTACTACCTCAAAACATTTCTACTTTAATTAATCTACAGTTTACAGAAGCTTTAAAAAAAGTAGCAAAGAAAGCCAAAGTATTTAACTTTGATGAAAACCTAGCAATTGGAAACAAAGCAGCGAGTACAAAGCAAAATTAAAAATATAATCAGAATTCAAAACAGAACATCTAGAATATACACGATCAAGAGACAAGAGACCAATTAAATTTATTTTTCAAAGAGCTAAATATGAACAAATGCATTAAAGAGATGCCTCAACAAATGGAAGCAGAAAAAAGCCTAAATAAATGTACATTATCTGATACAAAGTTACCAGTCAATGGGTATTTTGCTTTAGTTTGGGAAGATGAAAAGTGTTGGATAGTAGTGATGGTTGCAAAAATGTGAATGTACTTATTATTAACACTCCTGAATTGTATAGTTAATGGTTAGAATGGCAAATTCTCTATTTTAACACAGCAAAAAACAAAAACAAAAACATGAATTTATCTGGCAAACTCCCAAATGAATTTAACTACCACTTCTGTAGAGTGTCAATCTGTATATTAAACTTAATTTCTACTAGAAACAAATAGCATCTATGAAACAGCTACACATTGTACTAATGTTATACTACAATTTCAATTCCTACAGTGACTCCTCTAACAGTTGTGCTATTTAACTGTGTTTGATGATGCCCCAGTGGAGTATTCATCTTACAGGGAGTTATAGAAATCAGTTAAATGTAAAAATGTTTAGTAAATAAGTACATTCTCTTTACTTTTTAAAAAGTTGAGGGGCACCTGGGTGGCTCAGTCAGATGAGCATCTGACTCGATCTCGGCTCAGGTCATGATCTCATGGTTTGAGAGACTAAGCCCCATGTCGGGCTCTGCACCGACAGAGTAGAGCCTGCTTGGGATTCTCACGTACACTCCCTCTCAAAATAAACATTTTAAAAATAATAAAAATACAAGCTGATACGTTTTAAAGATCTTATTTTAAAATTTCAATTACTGTATACAAGTGAATAATTTTATAAAAAGAAATTTGTTTCCCTTACAAAAATCAATACTGAAATTACTTAAATGTCTATAATACAATGATTAAATATAAACATTAGACTATAATCTCCTGTAATAATTATTTTTTAAAGCTATCTCTTACTGGTGAGTATGCTAAAATATTGATATCTTTATAGAATCTATAGGTATCTAGTTTCTAAGTGTACTCTTACTATACCTATTAATGTTTTAACAAAATAGCACTATCAGAATACAATGCTTTATTGTTATCTAAATTACCATATATTTTCAGAATAAAGAATATAAAAATAGTAGAACACTACAAAATGGTAAGATTAAACAGAGCTTGGTGGAGTAAAATACTTAGCATCCACCAGTATAAAACACCTCAAAAAAAGCAAATAGCATTTGAAGCCCATGCCAAATTATTAAACACCCCCAATTCTTAAGAAATCTATATAATTAGGCAAACAGGAATATAAACAGAATATTCCATATGCAACCTTGTACTGTTAGTAAAACAAAACAGAAGACGCAGTTTGAGGACCACATACAAAAGAAAAATGAATACTGGGCAGTAAGGAGGATAGGTCGTAAGCTGGATCTTGAATTAAGACAACAGAAAGGGGAAAAGGTAATCCTTTCAACAACCTTCTGATTAGCAACACATGTTATTTATGACATTCTCCAGATTTACTTACTGACCCATTCCATAACTAGAAGCCAATCATCTACATTTAAACAAAGATGCTCTCTCACTGAAGTGATCCTATTACTTACCGTGTAACCATTTCACTAATCTCCCATTAGTGGAGTCTCAGAAGTACTCCAGTAAAGTTCTCTGATCCAAAAGGACATGAAAACTGAAGAACTGAAAAATGGATGGACCCTCTACATCACAATAAGGCAGAAAACAGAATTAGTATGGAAAACATAAGCTTCATTTAGAAGTTTGCTAAGAACCAGTTCTGGATTACAAAATGGTATTCTCTTATGCCATATTCATTAGAGAATATGTTTAATATACCATCATGGTATATTTAATCCAGAAAAGAAACTTTTCTTAGAACACTCCACTGAGCCAATCATGGTTATGTTAACTTCAGTTGAGGGCTAAGAGGATAGGCATGATTGGAGTTCAGTGAGAGTTGCCTAGAAGCAGAAAACACAAAGTCACAGGCAATATCCTTCTGCCAAACCATTCACACTTTGAATCCACAGGTAAGGTGACACATCTATTTGTCACCTTATCCAAACTGGGTATAGCAGCAGCTCAAACTATCGAATAACTGTGCATTCTGCTCTTTTTGGCCTGTAGTGTTAAACACATTTAGGATTAAAAAAAAACAAAAACAAAAAACTCAGAATAAAATAGCTTTCCCTTCTCTCTAAACCCATTCCTTTCACTATTTTCATTAATAACTATTTTAATAGAAAATCATGATTATTGAAAAGCCACATAGGACCTCATACTCTAGATGAGCATTAGGAATTTGCACTGGCAATTCCAACCCCCACTCCCGCCCTGACCTAGAATGCTCTTCTCCAGGTATCTGCATCTTTATCCTTCAATATCACCTTCTTCATGTCACCTGTCTACCAGACCCCCCTAAATCACAGCACTAGTCATCTAAGATACTATATAACTTATATTTGATGTATATTATTGGTCCCTTGCTATTAAGATTATGAATTTTATGAAAGGAAGGATCTCTATGTTGTTCAATGATTAATATTAAGCACCTAGAACAATTTGTATAATGTGCTCAGAGTTCAGGGAGTCAATTTATTAATAGTGGCAATATGTCCCTTCTAGATAAATGATTCCACTTCCATCTTGACTCTGTTCAAGTGGATGTCTCACAGACATCTGCAATTCAACATGCCAATAGTTCTTCACACTTCTCAGAAACCTGCTTCATCTCCTGTCTTCCCCATTTTAATCAATGACACCACCGGGTACCCAATGGCCCAAATCAGAAACCTGAATCACACAAGACCCAAAACTTTTCATATCTAACTCTTCATTAAATCCAGTTATTTCTTTCACTTCAGTATATAAGTACCAGATGTTCCTAGTCTAGCCATTGGACTCCTCCCTATTTCTGGTCTCCCTGTTTCTTCCTCACTCTATAAAAGTAGCCAGAATGCTCACTCTGATAAGACATCTGATTTAAAAATCACTCAGTTGTTCCCCATAAACTGAAGAATGAGGAGTCAACCTTAACCTTAAAAAAGGCTTATTTGTGACCTTGCTTCTGCCTTTCCAGCTTCACCCCCAACAGGTTCCAGAACCTCCAGACTTACTACTTGTTCTTGTTCTATAAGTGTGCCACTATTTCTCACCACCATAGCTTAGAGTGCTTTTCCTCTGCCTAGAAGATCTTAGCTGCCTTCATCCTCAACTCTTCCATCAGGATTCACTCAAATGTCAACTTTTCTTATATTCTCCAGAAAGAACAAAGCTGTTCCTTCTTTGGGCTTTTTTTAACGTTTTATTTATTTCTGAGAGACAGACAGACAGCATGAGCAGGGGAGGGTCAGAGAGAGGGAGACACAGAATCCGAAACAGGCTCCAGGCTCTGAGCTGGCTGTCAGCACAGAGCCCGACACGGTGCTCAAACTCACGAACCGTGAGATCATGACCTGAGCCGAAGTCGGACGCTTAACTGACTGAGCCACTCAGGCGCCCCATGGGTCTCTTAAAGCACCTTGCTATGACAGTACTATATAATATCACATGCAATTTACTTTTCTTCCACTCTCCCCTCCCAAACTCAACACCACTGCAAAGGCAATGACCGTGTCTCTCTCTTACTCCTGTTGTTTAGCATGGTAAAGGTGTTTATTAAATAGTGGCTGAATAAATAGACATTATTCATATGACCTCCACATGAGTCATTCGGAGAACCTGAATACTGACTTATACCTTTTACAGGTTTCCCCTGCTATATGAAAGTTTACTTTATGCCACTTCACTTTTAAGAAAGACCTGTATTAGTACCTGTTTACACTACCCAAAAGAAATCTAAAGATTTTTGCTTTTACAAAACATTAATTATCTCTTTCTTTAATGCCATTCAGCTTATGAAAGGTTTCGGAGAGTGGAGCAAACATATTCAGAAAACTTCCAATGAGCACTATGCGATTATGGTTCCTGGGCACCTGGATGGCTTAGTCAATGGAATATGGGACCCTTAATCTCACTGTTGTGAGTTTTGATCCCCATGGTGGGTATAGAAATTACTTTAAAAAAAAAAATAAAATAAAATCTCAAAAAAAATAAAAAGGTTATGATAATGGCTCCTACCACAATTCTCATGACACTAATGCCACTTCATTCTTGAGAAAAAGGTTATCAGTGAGAATCCTTTCATTCCAGCACCTAAAGCAGTGCGTACCCCTGGTTACACACAAGAATCACTAAAGAGCTTTAAAAATACCAATGCTTACCTATATGATTGGCCTGGGGTGGAACACTTAACACTTTTCAAAAATTTTAAACACCTTTCATCTCAAGAGGAGATCCACTGACCTTAAACCAAGGTAAACATTTTCCATAAATCCTAAATTCAAACAAGAAGCTTTAAGGACTAACATGAATCTAAAACTTAGATAATACTATTTTTATTGAAAAATGTTTAGGGGTGCCTGAGTGACTCAGTTGGTTAAGCACTCAACTTTGGCTCAGGTCATGATCTCACAGTTTGTGGGTTCAAGCCCCACGTCAGGCTCTGTGCTGACAGCTAGCTCAGAGCCTGGAGCCTGCTTCGGATTCTGTGTCTTCCTCTCTCTGCCCCATCCCTGCTCACACACTCTCTCAAAAATAAACATTAAAAATTTTTTAAATGTTTAAAATTCCAGAACTAAATTAAAAATATATTTTAGAACATAATTAATGAAGGTGTGTGGGGAAAAAAAACTAACTGATGCCAATTAACATGATCAAAATAGCTACTAAAATTAATCATTGATTAGTAATCAGGGAGAGAGAAGTGTAGTAAAGTGTGTTATGGCCAAGATGGGTGCCTGGGTGGCGGCCTTGGTGGCCCAGTCAGTTAAGGGTCAGACTCTTGATCTTGGCTCAGATCATGATTTCATATGATTTCATGGTGAGTGAGTCTGAGCCCCACACTGGGCTCTGCAGTGACAGCATGAAGCCTGGCCTGGAATTCTCTATCTCTCAAAATACATACATACATACATACATACATAAACAAACATGGAAAACTTTTAAGAAAAAAAAAGAAAGCCAAGAAAAGTTAGAGTCTTGAGAAATTGCTCAAATGTGGATGAAGGATGGTACAAACCAAAAAAAGGAAAAGCAATTATGGAAGTTGTGCCTGAGAAAGAGGGAACTGACCAGAGCAGAAGATATGCATTGTAAAGGAATGGGGGGGGGGGGGGGGGGGGGGGGGACTGCATGAAATAACAGGCTTTCATTTCCTCCCCTTTAGCACATCGTATCTCTCCTATCTCACATAAAGCACAGAGGCTCTGAAAAGCTCAAATCACAAAGCTAAAGCTTGGAATCAGTCAGGTATGCATAACTTTAAATTCCAAGCCCCCTTTATCATCCTGCAGTGCTTCACAAAGGAAACAGGCAAAGACAGAACAAATTCAAGGGCATTAAATGATAAAGCAAAACAAAAAACTAAAGAAGTTCACTGTAGGCTTTTAAGTCTAGAAATAAGGTGTGACAAAAATGTGCTTCCAGAAGACTGGCCGGGCAGTATACAAAATAGATTAAAGGAGAAAGAGGCTAAAGGAAAGGAGACCACTGATTGCTTCAGAATAACTATGTAACTTTAAGTTATATATACTTATATATATATATGTATATATAACTTTAAGTGCTGCATTTTCTACTAGTTTCACAATTTCTTTGACTTTTCAGTGCTTTCAGGATACCTCTTATATAAGCCCCCCTGTAATGTATTAAACACTTAGGAAATTGACTGTTCAGGGTAAGTGATCAAGTAACTGAAATTATCAAAGTAGACAAAAATACCAGATGTTTGCTTATGTATGTCTACAAATCTAAATCTTACTTCAGTCTTATCAGCCTCCTTCCAGTCTTTCACCCTCCGTTTCACCTTTAAAAAGGGATACTCAGTTAATTTTGCTGATACATCGTCCATACCTGAACTTTTCTTGATCAAGAATCCAAATTGCTTCACATTAATTAGCTGTAACAAATCCAAACTCCTCAGCCCTCTATATGATCCTTCTGTCATCTCACCTAAACTCCAGTTCTCTCCAAAAAGATCATTCATGCCAGCTTCCTCACACTAAATAACACACACCACCCTGGAGCTGTTTGACATATTTCCAAAATACAATACCTCCTTCTATTCTTATTCAACTTCAAACCATCCATGAAGGCTCAGCTCAAAATCTAGTATTCTCCTCAAAGTCCATTTCTAAGCCCTACAACACTAAAACAGATCTCAAACTGGTGACTGGTAGGCCACTACTGATGTGTGTCTGGCCCAGGTTTGTTTGTTTCTTTAAATCAAACTTTATTCCAGGGACACGCGGGTGGCTCAGTCGGTTAGGTGTCTGACTTCAAATCAGGTCTCACAGTTCATGGGTTCAAGCCCCATGTCCAGCTCTGTGCAGATAGCTCAGAATCTGGAGCCTGCTTCAGATTCTGTCTCCCCCTCTCTCTCTGCTCTACCCCACTCATGGGGGGGCTCTCTCTCTCTCTCACAAACATTTAAAACCTTTAAAAAAAAAAAAAACACTTTATTCCACTGACAACACTCAACTGGGAGAGATTACTTTTAAAAACTGTATTTTCAACTGTTATTGAAAAAACATGCTCTGGTAATCTGGAATCCTGTTCACACAGCCACTATCAGCTGAAGCTAAACAGCAGCCAACCCCTTTCCAAAGATTCTTCCATTTTAAATTCAGAGGATATGTCAACTGCCTGACTTCTGAGACTGTACCTGCAGAAGCTGCAATCAAAGAAATACCTGGGGGCACCTGGGTGGCTTAGTCGGTTAAGCGTCCAACTTCGGGTCAGGTCATGATCTCACGGTTGGTGAGTTGGAGTCCCGAGTCCGGCTCTGTGCTGACAGCTTAGAGCCTGGAGCTGCTTCAGATTCTGTGTCTCACTCTTTCTCTCTGCCCCTCCCCTACTCATTTTCCTTCTCTGTGTGTGTGTGTGTGTCTCTCTCTCAAAAATAAATAAACATTAAAAAAAAAATACCTAACTGCCTGTTAGGCACTGGAGTTACAAAAATAAGACAAGTAACAGTCCCTCCTCCACAGCCTAGCTTAGTAGAGAAGGCAAAGAGAGAAGCAATTAAATAGGATACATGTGGTCAGTGCTATGATGAGGAAAGAAGAGGGCATTTAGCACATGGCCCACGGGTACTTAACTCTCGTGAGGGAGGGGGCAGTTTAGAAAACACCGCTCTAAGTTACAGGAAAACTGAAAAAGTTTAGCAGGTGTAGGAATTATCCACAAAGAGGTAGAAGAAACGTCAGAGAAATCAAATGCCTCAGAGAGAGAAAAGAACCTCCACAAAACCATGGGGGCAGGAAAAATATTCTGAGGAAGTGAAATCAGTTCAATATGGCAAGACCCATCACTTAAAATTAAATGCAGGTGTTAGAGAAAGGACTCAACTGAAAGGGCTAAAGGCAAAAGCCAAGTGTTAGTTATAGTCCAAGATGAGAGAATTTCCATAAAGAGGTTGACAATAAAGAGTTTGTTAAGCAGGGAATTAGAGATTCAGTGAACGCAGCTGTCCTGTTGAGGCGCGAAATGTGTAAGAAGAGGGAGAAACAGTGCTAGCCTAAACAAGGGAGAAGGAAGCAGAAAGCAGCATGGGAATGCGGGTGTAGCATAGAAGACCAACCGGGCTTACATCTTGGGCGGTAACCAAAAATAACGGGGATGTGAAGCATAGTAGTTTTTGGCTGGCCACAAGTTTGCCAAGAGAATTAGTCCCAGCAGTCCCCTGGTGGATGTGGAGGCATCCGAGCCCCTCAAAATTCAGCTGCGCCCTGGATGCACTTCCTTCCTTCTAGAAGATATCCGCTTCAATCTGGATTGAAGACTCCAGGAGAGGTTCTGGATTCCAGGCTGCTGGCACGCAGGCTCCCAGGGAAGGGTCAGAGGCCTGGTCTGTGTGTGCTGGTGGGTAGAAGTATAAACTACCTTGCATTAGTTTCTGAGTTTTCTGCGGGAATGACGGGCCCGTTTACTTCCTCAAGATAAGAAGCAGTGTGCGCCCATCACAGACTTACAGAACAGAAAAAGGCGCCAAGAAGTCCAACATTTGTCCATACCAACACCCAAGATGAGTCATTCTGTGAATCCAAGTTGACCTGGTCTCCCAACTAGACTGAGATATCCACCAGAAAAAGGCCTGTTTTACACTTTTTTTTGTAGCTCTCAAAGTGCCTAACACCTAACTGGGTACATCGAACACATTCTATAAACTTACCGACTTCCTAACTGACCTTGGGTCACTGAAGTTACCTAGTTCAGTCCTCTTTATACATAAGACGCTTAAGAGAAGCAAACCTGTGCCTCAGACTCAACAGTTTCCTTTATTCCAAACTCCACTGCGTCTCTACACCCTCAACCGCAAGGGCACGATTCAAATGCAACGGGAGCCTCATGTCCCGCCACGGAAAACACCCGCCCTCCTGCTCTCCTCGGGGGTAGCAGCCCGCGCGCTCGGCCCCGTGCACCTCTCGGAAAGGCGTAAGGCGCTCACCGACTCTGAGCCACCGGGAGACCCCGTAAACGTAGCCGTCCGCTCGTCGCCGCTCTCTTAGGCATGCACTTCCGGCGCGCTCAAGAACGTCAGCAAGAGCGCCCGCCTCTGGTCCCGCCTCCGGTGCCTGGGTCTAGCTCCCGCCAGGAAGAGGCGTTGCTCTCGCTGCCTTCGTACTCCTCGGCGCCTGACCCCTCCCCGGACCCGTGATGCCAAGGCCCCTGCGGGGGACGAGGAAGAGTCGGGCGTGAGCCCCAGCTGAGTGGAGGGCTCGCGGTCTAGTCTCCCCGGCCCGCCCCACCTCAAGGTAAACGCCTCTCAGCTGCGGGCTTTCTCCCAGCGAGGCCCCACCCGGACCCGGCCTCTAAAACGATCTACCCCTCTCCCCTCGCATCTTTTTTATTCCGGGCCATTTACCTTTCATTGCCCGCCTTCTCAGTTCTCACCAGAACGGCTAATGTATATTTTCAAACGGGAAACTTTTAAGATGTTGAGTTCCTGAAGTTATCTAATAAACTCCCCCAAAACATTTCAAGCATCTAGCGATTTTCTCATTACTCCGCGAATTGGCATCCCTTAAAGTCAGTATTTTGCTATTTGTGATGTCCCCTACCCCCATCTCACGTACACACCATAACACGCTTTTTAAATCGAAAATTTGAACCCGGTTGAGTACCACATAATTTTCACAGATAATTGCTTTGTAAAATACGCAGTGAAAATTACCAATTATATCTGTAAACTAAAAATACATATACAGTTCAGTATCTTTCAAGGTACTGAAACCTATTCATATAGTAAAACGTATCGTTTAATTATTTATCATTAATATGCAAAATAATGATTTGAAAAATTTACACCATTAAAATGTGAGGCTAAAATTTTCTCTTAACATCACTTCAGAAAAAAATATTAAAACAACCAAAAAGGTACCCAAAACCAAAGCATTAGTAAAAATGAGCCGCTGAGGTTTTTCGGAGCTACAAGATTCTTTTCTGTTGTGGTAGGCAAGGTATGAAACCTTATGGAAAAGCACTTTCTTGATCTTAGCCCCAGAGAAGGTTAACAGTTTTTTATTCATCTGTTTAAAATTCATTCTTCCTTCACACCATTATCCAGCACTGGGATGGTTAGTGTAAGGGCTCTGCTTGAAAGAAGGACCAGAAGGGCCTTTGAAGTGGTGTCTGGTGAGACGAAATTACTTAATTCACCCAGCTGGAGTCAATCCTTCTAATCCCAAAAAGTGAGGAAGGTGTATTAAATACGGCATAATTACATTATTGACTGTCTATATTGGTTTTGCTTGGAATGAAGAATACATGGTTTAGATGGCTTTTGGGTTTGTTTTCCTTTTTAGAAATGAGTGGTGGATTGGCCCCAAGTAAAAGCACAGTGTATGTATCCAACTTGCCCTTTTCCCTGACCAACAATGACTTATACCGGGTAAGTAACTTCTAGTACAACCATCTACTGAATTTTCTATTTGAAGTACAGATGTACCTTAAGCAAACAGTTCTTTTTGGCAAAATTCTTAGTAAGTACATTACAATGCACTAAAGCCATGAATAGCAAAGACCTCTGTTGCAAACATAAGTAAAAAAATTGACAATTTTATAATTTCCAATGCAAGTTTGCAGTGCTTTCATGGAGAATAACAAGTTCTTTATAAACACAGAAGACACAGCTAGCCTAATGACGTGGGAGCAACTTACGATAGGTTGAATTTCCTGATTGCTAATTTGACTTTTTGAAACTGGTGGGGTAGAGGTTTTGGACAAAAGGGCCGATAAAAGCAAACAGATCCCTTTACTAACCCTCAAATTCTGAAAGGATATTTTAATTTATATTTATGTTAGAAATTTAACCGTTTAATAAATGTTGTTTTCAATTCAGAATAAGGGTAATTGAGGGAGGAAACGCCAACATCATCTTTCTCCTCTCCACCTTACAGAAAACAAAATTTCCTGCTGTCCCTGTCCTGCAGATGAGTGGTTGAGAGGAACTGGAAGGAATGAATCCTTTCTTCCAAGTGTGCCCTCTTCTCTCTGCTTCTTTGGGTAGATGTTAAGTACAGAGATGCTGCATAGGTGATACATAGTATTTGATTAATTAATTGAGATAGCTGAGTCTCAGAGGACAGAGAAAATGAATTTCAGCTCTTTCTTTGCATCAAAAGAGAGATGTGTCTGTATGTATTGAACACTTAACCTATGCTGAACACTCTTAGAAGTACTGAGAACATGGCAATGAACAAAAAGATGAAAATCCATCTTGGGACTCATAGCAAGATTAAAAAAATGTGAAATATAAAAAAGTCAAATGATATTATTATTTGGATACTAAGTTAATGCTAAGATGTCAGATGCTGAGGAGTAAAAATAAAGGCGGTTGGGGCGACTGGGTGGCTCAGTTGATTAAGCGTCCAACTTTGGTTCAGGTCATAATCTCACGGTTCGTGAGTCTGAGCCCCACATCAGGCTCTGCTGACGCTTGGAGCCTGGAGCCTACCTTGGATTCTATGTCTCCCTCTCTCTCTGCCCCTTCCCCACTTGCATTCTGTGTCTCTCTCAAAAATATTAAAAAGAATAAAATAAAGAAGGTTATTAAATGTTAGGTCAGGAATGGTGGTAAAATTTTACATGGACAGTCTAAAGCCCTTATTGAGAAGGTGACTTTTGAATGAAAACCTAAAGAAAGAAAGAGGCAGCTGTGTGGATGTCTGGAGGAAAAGCATTTCAGGCACAGAGTAAATCAAGTAGAGAGAAGAGGAAGGGCTATCAGGAGGTAAGCCAGTTCAGGTGTGCCTTGTAGGGCCTACATATATCATGGTAAGGACTCTGAGTGAAATAAACCATTAGAAAGTCTTACACAGAAAGCTGTATTGGTCTTCAAGATTCAGTGTTGCTAACTCTGCAGACCAGTTATACTGCATTCCAGCATTACACAACTTAATCATAAAACTCAGTTGATTGTGTAAATATCAATGTATTCTGAAATGCTTTTCTAAGACATAATAAATAGGAACTATTAGTATATAGGTAGTGGCTGACACAGAAATAGATGAGATTGCTTAGGGTAAAGATATAGAAGTAAAAGAAAAAATGAGGCCCAACCATGAAGAACTACCAGAAAAAGGATGGGCAAAAGAATATAGACTGATGGGAATGCATTTTTCATTATAGAAGCTTTTTTGTTTTGCATTTTGTTTTATAAGCAGTCTAAGGATCTGCCTTCTGAAATAGTGATTGTTTAACGGGGTAGACTAGGAATAATGATATCCCACAGCACTGATATTTACAGCACATGGTTTCTCTGAGGCTGTGGTGGGGTTGATAGTTGCCATGGATATACCACAGGGACACAGCAGCTGTGCAGTGTATGCCTTCAGCATGCCAACATAAAGAGAGGGGTTGTTTCTCTGTATGCACTCTGTTGTTCTGGGACAGATACCTGTGATTCCAAGGACAGAGATAAGAATATTATTCTAGGGGCGCCTGGGTGGCTTAGTCGGTTAAGCGTCCGACTTTCGCTTAGGTCATGATCTCGCAGTTCGTGGGTTCGAGCCCCGCGTCGGACTCTGTGCTGACTGCCAGCTCAGAGCCTGGAGCCTGTTTCAGTCTGTATATCTCTCTCTCTGACCCTCCCCTGCTCATGCTCTCTCTCTCTCTCTCTCTCTCCTAGAAATAAATGAAACATTAAAAAAAAAAAAATTTAAATAAAAAAAAAGAATATTATTCTAGTCAGTAAAAAAAAATGTATCTCCCTAGGCCTGCTTTACAGAATAAAGGCTAAAAGTTTTCACAAGCTTTAACAAAGAATGTGTTCAATTTATACGACCTGAAAATTTAATGTGTCTTATGATTTTAAGTTAAATTGTAAGTTATTATATGGTCTTTTGTTTCAGATATTTTCCAAATATGGCAAAGTTGTAAAGTAAGTATGCACATCAAATTTTGAAACTTCAATTAAAAGTTTATCTGAACTTACTTTTCCATTTTTTTAAGGTTTATTATTTTTCCATTAAAACAGATATTTGATATAACAAAGAAAAATAGTATTTTTTGGTCATTTTGCTGAACATATAAACATGTATAGATATTTTTTCAAAGATTCAATTCTATACATGCAATTTTGTTGTCTTTTTTTTTTTTTAATGGGTATTTATTTTTGATAGACCATGCAAGTGGGGGAAGAGGGAGGGAGGCAGAGAGACAGAAAGACACACAGAATCCAAAGCAGGCTCCAGGCTCTGAGCCGTCAGCACAGCTCTTGATGGCAGGGCTCAGACTCCCAAACCATGAGATCATGACCTGAGCCAAAGCTGGATGCTTAACTGACTGAGCCGCCCAGGTGCCCTATTGTCTTTTTTAAACTTGACATTATACTATAAACATGAGGTGAAAGAT